CAAAAAAAAAAAAAAAAAAAAAAAAAAAGGTAAATAAACCCAAGGATTTGATTCCTGCATTGATCCAAAAAAAGTTTTTTTTTTTTTTCTTTTAAAGTTAAAAATAGACTCATGGCTTTCAGGTGTATGCTCAATATACAGGCTCACCAAAAGGGAAACTGCCCAAACATCCCCAAAGATGTGTGAGGAGACAAAACAGGTGCTATTCACACAATTCAACCATAGAAAGGAGTCGTGCTGGCACCCGATACAACATGGATGTCCTTTGCAAAAGCGCTAAGCAAAAGAGGCCAGACGGGGCCAAGAGGGTTTGGGACTGAGCGGTTTCCTGCGGTCCTGGGAGCCACTGTCAGAGTGTATGTGCGGAATGTGGGTCCGTTTTCCTCTATCAGTGCTGGAGGCTGAGACCAGGGAAGGGCGACCCACCCAGCCACCCATCGATGATAGTGCTTGGAGCGGGGGAGGTGTGATGGGTGAGGTGATCTCCCTAAGATTCAGGGGAGGTCGTGGGTGAGGTGATGTTCCCTAAGATTCAGGGGAGGTTGTGGGTGAGGTGGTGCCCCCTAAGATTCAGGGGAGGTTGTGGGTGAGGTGGAGGTGGTGTCCCCTAAGATTTGGAGGAGGTAGTGTCCCTACGATGGTGTGTAGTGATTTTATTCTGGAAAAGGGTCTCAGCAGATATGACTAAGGGTCCAAGATTTTGGGGGTTTGGGGGAGGCTGTAAAGACCAGTGTCCTTATAAGAGATACACAAAACAGACAGGATGGTGCACATGCCTGCAAACCAGCACGAAGGAGGCTGAGGCAGGAGGATCGGGAGTTCATGTGTAGTGTGGGGTACACAGCAAGACCTAGATGGGAGTGGTGTGTGTGGGGGGGAGGGTTCATGGGAAGAGGGAAGCAGGAATTTAAGTAATGGAGCCACAGAACAGGAACACTTGGTGCTATCAGAAACTTCTAGAAGCATGGAAAAATCACCCCCCCCCCATAGGTTTCAGAGGGAAAGCAGTCCTGATTTCACACTTATGGTCTGCAGAACTTTCAGAGATCCATTCTGGTTCTGTTTGTTTTTGACACATGATCTTGCATAGCCCAGGTTGGCCTGGAAATTCCTATGTAGCTGAGGCTAACCTTGAACTCCTGATCCTCTTCCCTCTACCTTGAAAGTGCTGGGATTAGTCCTCACTGGGCTAGCTCAGCTCCATTCCTGCTCCTGTAAGACACACACACACACACACACACACACACACACACACACACGCACACACGCACGCACAGAGAGAGAGAGAGAAAGAGAGAGAGAGAGAGAGGGAAGGAGGGAGGGAGAGGGAGAGAGGCCCTGCCTTTAGCTCACTGCAGTTGTGGGAGCCCTTTTCCTCCTACATGGAGATGATGAGCCCCAGGGAAGCCCCACCCCCCATCCCTAGTGCAGGATGGCAGGTTTGGGTAGTTCAGACTCATCTGGAGTGATTTGCTAGTGGCTCCTTCCAGTGCCTATGTGACTAAACTGTGTGTGTGTGTGTGTGTGTGTGTGTGTGTATGTACCTTGATTCCTTATGACTGTTTGTAAACATGAAACTCAGGCCTGGGTAGAAGAATATGAAGGCAGGGAGGAGATGGCCAGGACCCACAGAAACCAGGAGCGCAAAAGGACAGTCTCCTTCTGGCACTCAAGAAGCCCACCCCTCAGCCTTCCAGCCACCAAAGCTGTGAGACTGAGAACTGTCCAGAAGAGAAAGCGTTGCTGCTGATGGGCATGGGTGTGGCTGGGGACCCCTGCACAGTACTGGAGGGAACGTGAACAAGTATGGAAATCACTGTGGAGGGTCCTCAGAAAACAAAAGATGGAGCCGTCCTATGAGCCAGAGATCAACTCCAGGTACATACCTGACAGACTGCAGCAGCAGACACCCGCATCTATCCATGCTTATCACCCTCCACTCTTAGTAGCTGGGATGCAGGGCCAATCTAGAAGCCCATCTGTGGGGAGGTAAGAGGGAAAAGGTGGATCTGATATACAGTTCTACTCATGGACAAAGAACAAAGTTACATCATTTGCAGGAAAATGGATGGGAGTAGGGATCAGCATGCTGAGGGAAATAAGCCCGACTCAGAAAGACAAATGCCCATGCTGTCTGCGCAGCAGATCTGGCTAGAAATACACATGACAGGAGAGCAGAAGGGGCTGTCTGCGGGAGGAGGGGGTGCTGGAGAATATTATTTTAAGGTGTGTTACTGTTGTTTAGGTTGCATTTGTTTAACTCTGTGAAGCTGTGTTCCTGTGCCTGTCTAAAACACCTGATGGTCTAATAAAGAACTGAACGGCCAATAGTGAGGGAGGAGAGAGGACAGGCGGGGCTGGCAGGCAGAGAGAATATATAGAAGGGAAATCTGGGAGGAGAAAAGATCAAGGAATAAGGCAGAAAGGTAGCTGGAGAAGGAGGAGGACTCCAGGAGCCAGTCACCCAGCCACCCAGCCACCCAGCCACCCAGCCACCCAGCCACCCAGCCACCCAGCCACCCAGCCACCCAGCTACACAGCAAGCCACAGAGTAAGAGTAAGATTTACAGAAGTAAAAGAAGGGGAAAAGCCCAGAGGCAAAAGGTAGACAGGATAATTTAAGAAAAGCTGGCAAGAAATAAGCCAAGCTAAGGCTGGGCATTCATAAGTAAGAATAAGCCTCTGTGTGATTTATTCAGGAACTGGGTGGCAGGCCCCCCAAAAGAGCAAAACCCCCAACAACAAAGCGGAGCAGTGGGAGAGGGAACAAGAGGAGGGCAACTGCAAGGAAGGTACACGACAGACAGACACACGGATGTCACGACAGACACATGGATGTCATGATAGACACGCGGATGTCAATATAGACAGTCAGACGGATGTCACGACAGACAGACACACGGATGTCATGACAGACAGACACACGGATGTCACGACAGACAGACACACGGATGTCATGACAGACAGACACACGGATGTCACAACAGACACACAGATGTCACAATAGACAGACACGAATGTCACAACAGACAGACACATGGATGTCATAACAGACACAGGGATGTCAAGACAGACACAGATGTCACGACAGACACCGACACATGGATGTCATGACAGACTCACGAATGTCACGACAGACAGACACATGTAAGTCACGACAGACACGTGGATGTCATGACAGACACATGGATGTCATGACAGACAGACACATGGATGTCATGATAGACAGACACATAGATGTCACGACAGACAGAGACACATGGATGTCACAACAGACACAGGGATGTCAAGACAGACACACAGATGTCACAACAGACACAGACACATGGATGTCACAACAGACAAACACACAGATGTCACGATAGACACAAACAAACAAATGTAAGGGGGCTGGAGAGATGACTCAGTCATTATAAGCCCTGACTGCTCCTCCAGAGGTCTTGGGTTTGACTCCCAGCACCCTCATGGTAGCTCACAACCATCTATAACTCCAGTCCTAGGGGAATCTGATGGCCTCTGCGGGCACTGCATGTGCATGGTACACATACATACATGCAGAAAAAAAAAACCACCCCCACACAAAAATAAAACAAATTTTAAAAACTGTTAAAATGTTGCTGTTTTTTGAGCACCTGTGTGGCCTGGGCAGGCGTCTCCATGACGGTAAGGTGACCTGCTGACGTCCTACTCAACCTAAGTCAGAAGCTCATTTTTTAGTAAAAGGGGGACTTGCAGGGCCCTGGCCCCTGTTTTGGGTAACTGTTGCCTTGCTTGCTGACCTTGACCTTGATATCCTCCCTATGCTAATTCCCTGCCAGGTTCCTCCCTTTTGAAGGCTTAAGGGAAGTTCCTTGTCTATATATCCTGCATTTTGGGCGTTACAGCTTAGATGCAAGATTGTAAAACATTGGTAGCAAACTTCTGCCCTCCGGGGTTCTCCCATTGTGCTGTAAGCCTGTATTTAAGAACTCTTCCCTCCTTCAATAAACGGCATTTGGCATTAAAAAAAAAAAAAAAAAAAAAAAAAGACGCGGGGCAGTGGTGGCGCACGCCTTTAATCCCAGCACTCAGGAGGCAGATGGATCAGGTGGATCTCTGTGAGTTCGAGGCCAGCCTGGACTACCAAGTGAGTTCCAGGAAAGGCGCAAAGCTACGCAGAGAAACCCTGTCTCGAGAAAAAAAAAAAAAAGTCTACTCTATTGGCTAAGATGATGTCTCACAAATGTATCTATGTATCAAAATTTGCCAAGTTATTTGTTTTAAAGATATTCTCATTTTTTATGTCATGCTACCTCAATAAAACTGTTTAAAAGTTAAAAAAAAAATGAAATGAAATAAAAAAATGTTGCTGTTTTTCTCTCTCCCTTCTGTGCTGTGGGAGGGAACAGAGCGAGCCCATGTGTGAGGACCCAGGCTCCAGGGCCTCCAGGAGCGCGCAGATGAAGCCAGAACTGGGACCAACTCCTTCCAGGCCCCTCTGACTGACTGTCCCCGCCGGTGTGGCCAGGGCCTCCTCCGTCCCTACCGCCCCAGCGGGGGAGAGCCCCAGACATTCCCAGAGCAGCCTCTGGGATACATTTAGAAACTGGCTGGGGGCTTCAAGCTGAGCCCAGCCTGGTGAGTGGGGAGCGGCCATCTGGAGCCTGTTTGCTGGGCCCTGGCAGCAACTCTGAGCAGAATTACTGGAAGGGCGCCGTGAGACGGCCAGCCCCCAAGTCGATGGCCTCCAGTTGAATCCCGGCCCCGACGCTGCCTCCTCACACCAGACTTCTGGCCTCCTTGTCTTAGTCATCACATTTGTGAAATGAGAGTGTGATAGAATTCACTTCAAAATGCTGCTGCCACAAATCGATAAGCAGCTATGAATGCCAGGATGCTTAATAAAGGGATTTAAAAAAAAAAAAAAAAACAACTGGTAATCAACTACTGACTTAGTCTGTCTTATGTTGCTCTAACAGAATACCGGAGCTGGAAGTGGAAGTCAAGGAGAAAGGAAGCCCCAACAATAAACAGTCTCAGGAGAGCCCGAGCCCACTCCTGTGAGGCTAGCCCAGGCCTGACCTTTTTTGAAATAGGGTCTCACTCTGTAGCCCAGGCTGGCTCAGAACTCTTCATCCTCCTGTCTGAGCCTCCTGAGTGCTGGGATTCTGGGTGTGCCCCACCACACCGGCTCTTCCCAAACAGCTAAAACTCTATGCTCATTAAAAATAACTCCTCAGGGCCAGTGAGACGGCTCAGTGGGTAAGGGGGCTTGCCACCAAGCCTGGCGACCTGAGTTCAATCCCTAGGACCTACATGGTGGAAGGAGAAAACTGACTTCTGCAAGTTGTCCTCTGACCTCCACACATGTATGATGGTATGCACACAAACACACCTACACATGCATACACAAAATAAATAAAATTTAATTTAAAACTCAAAAGAAGTCCCCATTTCTTACCCTTTTGCTTTCTACATGAGTCTGGCCACTCTGATTCCTCATGCAAGTGGAGTCATACCATTCGAGATTTGTTTTTTGTTTTGTTTTTCGAGACAATATTTCTCTGTATTGCCTTGACTGTCCTGGATCTCGCTCTGTAGATGAGGCTGACCTCGAACTCACAGAGATCCGCCTGCCTCTGCTTCCCCAGTGCTGGGATCAAAGGCATGCACATTCCACTCAGCATCATGTCTTGAAAGCTCACTCAGTGGTAGCACATGCCAGTTTCCTCTAGCGTTTTTATTATTATTATTGCAGTAAAATACACACACTATGAAGTTTACCATCTGAACTGTTTCAGAGTGGACCGTGGTGGGAAAACACTCCTGTTTCTCTGTCATCCTCTCGGGATACTTCTGCCCTGTTCTTCCGTTTCTCTGGTGACGCTGGGGATTGAACCTAGAGCCTGGCATGTACTAGGCAAGTGCTCTACCACTGAGCTACATCCCAGCCCCCCTTCTTTTTTTTTGAGGGAGAATCTTATATAGTTGAATCTGGCCTAGGCTCAAACTCACTTTGCAACCCAGGTTGACTGGAACTAGCCTTCCTCCTGCCTCCGCCTCTGAGTGCTGATCGCACAAGCCTTTGCCACCACGCCTGACAACGCTTCTCAGTTTGAAATTAAAAGTCTGCATCGGTTGGACACTAACGCCCCTCTCCCAGCCCCGACTGCCGCCATTTCTAATTTTTCTACTGGAACAATTTCATATGAGAGAGCTCGCACAGCGCTTATCATTCTGTGTCCGGCTTGTTTTGCTCAGCAGAGCGTCCCCACGGCACACCCATGAGGTAGCATCAGCGAGAATTTCTTCCTTTTTACCGCTGACGATGCTTCAGTGTACGGCTGTGGCAGACAGTTCAGTCGTCCATTCATCTGTCGGTGGACACCGAGATTGTCCCTCGATTTGGCTAGTGTGAGGTAAGCACTGTGAACATGGGCATGTAAACACCAGGCGATCCAGAGTTCCAGGCAATCAGCATGCCTGATTTCGATGAGGTCCTGTGTTCGGTGTTTGGGGGACACACCCAGAAGCAGAGTGGGGTCACGGGGCTGAGTCCCCAGGCTGTTTTCTTAACCTTCTTGCCAGGAAGTGGCGAGGGCTCAGTCTCCCCACATGCATTAACAGTTGGTCTTTTTTTTCCTACCAGCCAGAGATGGGTGGGTGAGGAACAGCGTTAGCCACATTGGGCTGTGTGAGCTGCTGTGCTCTTGGCTGGAGGGCTGAGGGAAAGCAGACCTTAGGGGCCTGGAGGAAGGAAGCCTGGAGACAGTGTTCTCTAGGGCACTCTCCTTTGGGGAATACTTTTCCTAGGGATGCCTGGAACCCTGACCCAACTCCTGTTCTGTTTCCAGAGTTTCTAGATGGAGATGGCAGCATTCCAGAAAAACCACTCTATACAAAGGGCAGGAAGGGCAGCCACCTGGCTCCTGCTCACCTGGGAGCCACCTGGGCTGGGGAGCAGAGACCTGGCCTCACTAGGGTTAGGCAGCAGCTGTGTGCACAAGTGTCGCGCATTTAAACCCAGGTGACAAAGGGAAGGAGCTGCTAAAATGCTAGAAGCTTCCACGCTAACTTCAAGGTGGTTCAGCCAGCGTTTGAGGAGGGCCCTGGAGCTGTCCCCCACAAAGTTTCTGTTGTCAATGCAGCCAGGATGGAAGCTGCCCAAGGGAGCCCCAACATTTCCAGGCAGCTCCTAGGAGCGGGGGTTGGTGCTGGAGAGGCCAGAGCCTGCTTACCATGGGCAAAAGACAGCCACACTCGGCCCAGGCCCTGGTCGGCTGCACACAAACCCATTCCCCCTGGTCTTCCAGCTCCCCACATGCCACGGGGGCTCCAAAGGCCACCTTGGGGGGGGGGGTCATCATTCTACATGGTGAAGTCACTATTAGGAAGATGGGGACTCCAGAGGCCCGGAGGCCAGATAGAGTTGGTGCTTACCTGTAAAGCTGAGGAAGCTGGCCGATGGCCACACCATCCTCAGAAGAGACCGGTGGCGGGGTGTGCGTCAGGGCACCCCTGGAATGGGCCTGGGGGAGGCACCAGCTCACTTCCTAACCCATCTCTTCTAGAAATTGCACACAGATAAAAGGTCCCAGTTAATGAGGATTCTGGTTCAAGTTGTGAAATCCTCTGCAAAGCCCACTCCGCATAATAATGTATCAGAAACACAACAATCCTTTAATCTCCCATGAATTCATTGCTGGGCCCAGAGATTCCGAGCACGCCTGTGGAATCCCTAATTTTTGGAGCTGATGGTTCTGAAACGGCGGCTGATGTGAGGCTGGCTTCCATGCGAGTGGCCTCCCACTGCTCCCACAAAGGCTCAGATTGTCCGAGTGGTTTTCTCTCCAAGAACCATGTGTGTGGGGGTCTGAATTAATGGCAGCTTGGAAATTTTGCTATGGGTGGGATGTGGTGGGCTTGAATCCGAGGAGACTCAATGGCAGTTCTGTGGCCTTGGGCATCATCCCTGGCACCATTCACTCATCCCACCTACGTCTGCCCAGGCAGGCACAGGTGCTGCGTGGCAAGTGTAGGAAGCTGGTGGGACCAGCTGCAAACTGGAAGATATGAGAGAAACCAGGCTATGACCTGTGAGGGCACAGCGTGAAGGTACAGCAGAAAATAACTGGCATGGCCTGCCTAATCCAGTGCCAGGGCTCTGGGGGAGGGGGACCTGCCTAATCCAGGTGCCAGGGCTCTGGGGGAGGGGGCCTGCCTAATCCAGGTGCCAGGGCTCTGGGGGAGGGGACCTGCCTAATCCAGGTGCCAGGGCTCTGGGGAGGGGGGCCTGCCTAATCCAGGTGCCAGGGCTCCGGGCGAAGGGGTACAGAGAGGATCCTCACAGGCTGAGCTGAAGGATGAAAGGGCCTGTCATTCCTGGGTGAAGAGCCATGGGCACACAGGCCTTGAGTCAGGAACATACCGTGACCGAGATATGTGGGACAAGTAAAGTCACCATCACCATGTCACATGAGTGTGACGCCCGGATGCACTTCCCATGGCTCATGTGTGCCAGGCTGGAGCCTAGCGGTAGGTGCCTTATACGCCTGAGGCCTCAGGTTCGATCCCTCATACTGCCAAAATAACAATCATGCTGTGGAGCACCCTGGGGAGGATGCCCACCATTGGCCTCTGGCCTCCACAAGCATGCACACCCAGTGCACACATCCATGAGAGTGTACACACGTCCTCGCACACATGTGTTTATACGCGTTGCACCAATTTCCCAAGGATAATGCAACAAGTTACCACACACTCAGGCTTAAAACAACCAAAGTTCTGAGGGGCTACTAGGGCCAGAGAGCAGCCAGCCTTTTATTCATTTATTTATTTTTTTAAATGATGTATGTGTGTATGTATTCCCATGGAGGCCAGAAGGGGGTGCAGGAGCCCTTGGGCCTGGAGTCACGGGCACTAGCGTGGGCACCGTGGACACTGAACCATCTCTCTGGCACCGCATGGACTCTTGCCCTCTCTGCTCCTGCCGCTCCTGGCCGGGTGCCAGGGTCTGAATGCCCCCATCTCCCATCGAAATGCTGAAATCTAATCCCCACAGCAACATATTGTACCATACCCGAGGCCTGGTCTTTGGGATTCCAGGCCTTACAAGTTAGGCCCAGGGGAGCTTTTTTATTGCCCAAAGGCAATAAACTCTGGGAGGCTGGGGACAATCTTCACCCCACACAGAATCTGCAGGTACCTGGGTCTCGGACTTCCCAGCCTCCAGACCTGAGCATTACATTCTGTTGTTTCTGAGTTTCCGGGCGAATGTGTTTTGTTACAGCAGTCTAAACAGGCATTCCTTGGCGTGTGGCCTCCTCACTCCCGGCCTCCTTTCTTCTTTAGACAAGTTCTGGATTGGCTTTAGACAAGCTCTGACCAGTGGTGAACTCCGATTTTCCTGCCTCAGCCTCCAGTGCTGGGATCCCAGGTGTGGGCCAGCAGGTCCAGCTACACCTCCGTCCCCACAGTTACCTCCTGAGCTTCTCCCCAGGAGGCTCCCTTTGTCTTTTATTGTGTATATGTGCATGCTCATGCAGTGTGGGGGTGGGCCGGGTGGGGGTATGGGTATGTGGGGGGGGGTCAGCGTGCCATTGGCACACAGATGGAGGGCAGAGGACAATTTGTGGGCGTCAGTGCTTTCCCATGGTGGGTTCTAGAGATCAAACTCAGGCCCTCAGACTTGTGTGGTAAGACATTGACTGCCGACCTGTCTTACCAGCCCTCCGGTCTCCTGCCCCCTGCTGGAGACAGGGTCTCTCTGCAGCGCTCCAGCTAACCTGAAACTCAGGTCCTCTGGAAGTCACAATCTCTGAACCACTGAGCCATCTCTCAGCCCCGTGGCTGTCCCTTCCTGTCAACGTCTACCTGGCCTGTGCCTTAGCCTGCTTCTCTCAAGGAGCTGTTTTTTGAGACAGGATATCACTATATATCACCGGCTGGCCTGGAACTTGCTGTGTAGACCAGGCTGGCCTTGAACTCACAGCGATCCCCTGCTTCTGCCTTCCAAACCTTGGATTAAAGGTATGTGCCAGAATACTTGACTGCTGGTGCCTCTTGAGGAAGAGCTGTCCTTGGATTTGGGGCCCGCTCAGATAGTCTGAAGAGACCATCTCATTTCCGAACCCTCCATCTAATTGTATCTGCAAAGACCACTTTTCCAGCTAAGGATTCCTTCCCAGGGTCCAGGGATTCAGGGATTCGAATGGGGACATATCTTTAGGGGGCCAGCAGTCCAGAAGCATCCTGCCCTGTGAACAGCCTTGCGCAGGTGGTGTGAGGACCTGCCGGGAGGTCTGGTTGTCCTCTTGTGTTGTTACAGCTGTTCAAGGTGTCCGGTGGCTTTTACCTTTTCACTCTGCTAATGGGAAGAACAATAGCGATTGTCTGGCAGAGTCACCCTACCTTCCTGGGAGACAGCTCACCGGGCCATGGCCATGTTTTTGTTACTCTGCTTCATTATACTGAATATTCGGAGACGGTGGTGGGGGTGACTGTCTCCCAGAGAAACAGCTGTATATAGCTAGTGGAGACCATTGGGCAGAACACTCGGGATCTTTGGGAACTGTCCTAAATAAGGACACATGGAATGGAGAAACACCTAGTGAAGCAAACCAAGAGACCCCCTGACTGAATCTCCGAACAGCAAGGCCTCCTCCTCCTCCTCCTCCTCCTCCCCTCCTCCCCCTCTCTGGGTCCAGCATCATGGTAGAGGTGGCTGAGAACAGCTCCCCCCTCTCTGCCCAGGAAGGGCAGAACGCCAGGACACATAACGCACCCCCAGCTCCGAAATGTGGAAAAAGCAGCTGGGGGCCTGGGACTCTGTCCCCAGCCTCCCTTATGGCATGGAAGGCCTGCCTCAGGGACAGCAGCCACGTGCACAGGCTGCCTTCACTCCTGCGGGCTCACAGGGTAGAGGTTCCATGCCGTGAGGCGGCTGCCCTGCCCATAGCCCCCTTCACAAGGCAGGGTGTCGCTCTGAGAGAACCCTGGTGCAGAGCAGCCGTGCAGAGGTTAGACCAGAGACAGCCGGGAGAGCTAAAGCACTTCCAAGGGCATTCACTTCCTGTGGGTCTGAGAGTCAGCAGTTCAAGCCTGAGCACGGTGGAGATCTTGGTGACAGGCGATTTAGACGCAGATAGCAGCAGCGAATTGAGAGGAGGCTGCCATCAATACCTCCACGAGGGGAGCAAGCTAAGACACGGGCCAGCTAGACAGTCACAGGATGGAAAGAGACAATCGGGGCTGGAGAGATGGCTCAGGGGTTAAGAGCACTGACTGCTCTTCCAGAGGACCTGAGTTCAGTACCCAGGTCAGGGGGCTCACAACTCCAGCTCCAGGGGATCCACACCCTCTTCTGGCCTCTTCAGGCGTGCGCGCACGCACGCACGCGCGCACACACACACACACACGACTTTTTTTGGGAAAAAAAACCAACAACAATTGAGTGGATCCCTCAAGGGACTGTAAAAACTCTCAAAGAGAACCCCCATAAAGGAGGCCTGATTTAATTAGATTAGATCGTCTGAGGAATGGTTTCCACTCCAGGAGACCAATCCATCATCCCTGGAACCAATCACAGTGTGAGTCCAACAAAGACAGCTACGTAGCTACGTGAAAAGCCAGGGAAGGACAAGGAGGGTCCCGGGATGACCCTGCGCATGCCCAGGGGAGCCGGCATACTTTCTCAGAGACCCAGACTTCACTAAAATCAACCCAACCAAGTCAGTTAAGACAGGAAGACAGCAACATGCCCCGGAGAGTGGGGGAGTTGTTACAGTCTGTTACTGAAGATATCCAGTCAGTGTTTACCAAACGTTTATGAGATGTGAAAAGAAACAGGAAGCAGGTCCACACCTGGGGAAGACAGCAGCAGATGTGAATGGGCAAAAAGTTGGGGACCTTAAGGAGGGAGAGATTATGCCTTCCTTTTTTCCTTTTGAGACAGGGTCTATCTAGAACAGGCTGCCTTTGAACCCCCAGAGATCTGCCTTCCTCTGCCTCGTCAGTGCTGGGATTGAGGGTGTGTGCTACATTCCAGCTCCAAGGGATCCGACTCCCCCAGCCTCTGTGGGCATCTGCACTCATGAGCACATTACTGCCCCCCCCCATTAATTAAAAATGCACATGCTTGAATCCCAACACTCAGGAGACAGAGGCAGGCAGATCTCAGCGAGTTCGAGGCCAGCCTGTTCTACAGAGTGAGTTCCAGGACAGCCAGGGCTACACAGAGAAACCCTGTCTGAAAAAACCAAATTAATAACAACAACAACAATAATAAATCTTTTTTAAAAGTGAGAGAAAACAAGGGATGGTGACCCGTGCCTATAAGCCCAGCACTCGGAAGGCTGCGATGTGAGGATCACCGTGAGTTTGAGGCCAGCCAGCGGGAAGAGGCGTCTTGGAGAGCTGGAGCTACAGGGAGACCCTGTAGTCACTAGGACCGACTAGGTCTTGAGGCAGGGGAGCAGAGTGCCATCTTTGTACCTGCCTCCGCCCTCTGATCATCTCTATGAACCCTCTCTGCAGAGGGTGGGGAGCAAGAGGACAGGAAAGAGCAGAGCCCCTGTCCAGGGGTGTG